TCTGAACGACTAGACGACCTGTACCATGGACAAAGTGTTGGGGGTGGGGGGGGGCAGTCTCAAAAATCACTAGGAACTTTTCAGCCAGCACTGGTTAGTGCATCGGCGCCATCCATACTCACCAAGCCAACATTTGCCCCTTAGTGGGATCGAACTGTAGGTATTGATATATATGCCAGACCTATGGATCGCACATAGCCTTAGAATCAATTATAAGCGATTGATACAAGCAAACTATGTTAACTCAGATGTGCAAAGAACTTGATTAAGCATAAACAAGTATAACGGGCATATAGAATACAGGAACCTAAACATCAACCCAACAGCAACAATTACATATTTTATCATTATAACTATACTATGTTTTTAGTTTTTGGGTAGGAAGTTTGGCAAAAAAAAAGAAATGAAATGAAATGGGATTTAGCGCCCTACTCTTCTGCGCCGAACTGGGCTCAAAATACCCCCCCCCCCCCCAAAAAAAAAAAATAAAATAAATAAATAACATTCTACTACTAAGAGCATTCGCTGGGTAAACTTTCTTTTATGCATAACACATAACTGTGTTTCAAGGAGATGGTGGGAGTGTGGGGGGTGTTCACGAAATCGTAGTTCGGCTCTGCTGGGATCAATCGACTACCTAAGTTGTCGTAAAAAAACTAATATATTCGCCAGATTTGTACTAGCCAATAATCAGTAAGTGCCTAACAGTACTAATTTCGCGGCTTGACTTCTGAAACAATTATTAGTCAGTAAATAAAAGCTATCATAGGTTTACATATGGACTGAGACTAGTAATTATTTCCCCTTATTTCACGAATGTAGTGCGAGTTATAAATAGACAATTTTTCTCTTAATTTTTTTGTTTTCTCCGCTCTTCCTGCATTTTCTGGTTAACTTTTTTTTCTAGAATTGGAGAAAAGGGATCAAATTTGCAATTTCATAGCAGTTTTGGGTAATACTGATGATATTACAGCGGGGAGCTACGGGGTGTAAAGTGTCTTTCTGCAGAGCAATCATTGTGTCGGAAGTGAGATTCTCACCCCAGTGAACATCAAATCCCCGTAGCAAAAAATGTAAACGGTCAACATCCTACAAAATTATGATGAGGAGATTGCCAAATGTGGTCCCCATTGTGTCTATAAAGATTGGGCAAAAAGCTACAGCCTGTGATGTTACAGCTATTTAGCATTGAAGTCAATGGGCAAATAATTGCTAGTCTGAGACCATATCACGCTAATAGTTTATGTACGGGAGCGGGGAGCCACTATGACTCGGTGTGTATGACACTAGTTCATTAGTCAGACGGTCCTGGTTTCGATTGCAGGGTTTGTCGGGAAAGTGCCGATTTTCTAGCCTGGCTCATCCAAGACTGTGGAGGACCCGACAAGGCAAAGCACGTCGTCATTGGGATGAAAAACCCGACTTCCCCGGTATACTATTCATAGCGCTACTAATCACTATCTACTGGGCTTTAAACCCCATTTCATTTCCTTCCAAACATAGGGGAGGGGAATGGACGAATGGTTATTGCGTGCGCGTTGTATCATAAGGTCTGCCAATGAGTCAACTGGTGTGATTTCGATTCCCCTGTTGTACGTGATAAGGAGTAGGGTCGCCTGTCTTACCTCGTGGGTTTTTACCGGGTCCCTCAGCTCCCCACCCAACTGTTAAAGACCCATACGCGCAAGCGATTTAGTATGCGTTCTAAGACGAAAGTTAGGCGATCTTAATTTGTCAAATATTGCAATCAAATATTTGTCAAAACCAATGATTGAAAAAGATGACCCCCTGCTATGCATGGCTGGAATGAAGATTTACAATTATGAATGGGTATCTGAAGCGAGATGTTGATCAGTCATCAAGAAGATATTTATCCCGCTCATATTATGAACTTTGATGTTGAATCTTCTGATGAAGACTAAGAATAAACTAATATCTAAACATGTCTCTGATTTTCCGTGTTTTTTGATTTACATTTCCAGATCTCTTGAAAAGTACCATTATAATTTAATATTTGAATGACGAAATTGGTACTAAGCGAAAACGCTAACGACAAACCACTTTGAAGGTCAATTTTGAACCAAATGATTACAGTCACCATAAATACGTGTAGCCTCCACCCCCACTCCCGGCATTCCACCCCGGCACAATGGGAATCATATACATATATTTAGAGATATTTCATCAAGTTCAAAGAAAATCATCATTTAAATCAGTGTGAACTCATTTCCCACCAATTTTACCCCCCACCCCCATTTTCACACACGCACACCTGCAACCCCTCAACCAAAACCGCGCCATAAATCAAAACAGTTATCCTGGGGCATCATATACACTTATTTAGAGATGGGCAGTCCTAGACATTTATGTCAACATAAACACATTTTCCCCAAATTGTAGACATAGGACCCCCCATCCCCACCCCACCCTATCCACCCACCCACCCCTCAAACGCCTGATCAACATCCAGATTAGGAATCCCCACCCCAAAAATGGTCTAGAAAAACTTGGTCTCAAAAATTCACAGCTCGGGTGGCGGTTCCGCCCCCCACCCCCTTCAGCCACCGGACTATTATATACAAAAGTATACAAAATACTGTCTTATTTTTGTTGTTGGTGAGAAAGTAACAAAAATCGCGTTCATATAGTTCAACGCAGAATTGCTATTTGTAATCTACGTGGTTTAGCCTGTAAATTATAATTAACATGACCTTTTAATAATGTACCGTTATGTACATGTTTGTCTCGGGTTTTTTCTTTCTCGCTTTCTCGCGATTTCGAGGTCAGAGAAAACCCGCGAGGTTGGATCGAATCCAATGCCTCAAATCGCACGCGTTAAACCATTCGGCCATCCATATCCCGAAAACTAGTGACCAACTCAGTCATTACATTAAGATAATAATAATAATAATAATGTATATTTGTAATGCGCTTAATAATCCATCCATATACGCATGCTCAAAGCGCAACATTTAAAGAGTCTCTCGCCATTAAAAACACACATAAACAATCTGTTTCTAATCTGGATAATAGAGTTTAAACAAATGAGTTTTTAGTTGTGACTTAAAGATTGTGAAAGTCTGAGATTCTTTAATGTTTACTGGTAACTGATTCCAAAGGCGAGGTGCAGCAGCACTGAAACTTTTATCACCAAATTGTTTTAGTTTTGTTTTGGGAACAGCAAGTATATTTTTGCCATGCGACCTTAGCGCACGTTTGGGTTTATAGTTTGTCAAAAGTTCAGACAAATATAAGGGAGCAAGATTATTTTTACATTGATACACTAACGACAGAACTTTATACTGAATCCGGGGTTCGACAGGCAACCAGTGAAGAGACTTTAACACTGAAGTTATGGATGAATATTTTGAAGTTCTTGTTACAATCCTGGCAGCGATGTTCTGGATTCTCTGTAATTTATTTGTAAGAGTTTGGGTGAGTCCGAAGAGCAGACTGTTTGCATAATCAATACGGGACAGTATTAGCGCCTGAACTAGTGTTTTAGCAGCATCAGTCGTGATCAGGTGGCGAACGTTTCTGATGCAATGTATATGATAGAAACATATACGGCACAATTCATCAACGTGAGTTGCCATAGAAAGTGTTGACTCTAGGAAAACACCAAGGGTTTTCAGGCTGACGGAGAAGTCGATCATTGAATCCCCTATTGTTGTATTCTTTACTGTTATTTTCCGTAGTTTTTTAGAGGTTCCAACTAACATAGCTTCAGTTTTTTCATCATTTAATTTTAGGCAGTTGTTAATCATCCAGGACTTAATCGACTGCGAACATGCTGCTGTACGATTTAAGGATTCTTTTATTTGAGTGTGGTTGAAAACGTCAACTAGCTGTGTATCATCGGCGTAGGAATAATGTTGGATACAATGTTGGTCAGTAATTATACCAAGGGGTGTAGTGTATAGTACAAATAATACAGGACCAAGCACTGATCCCTGCGGCACCCCACAGGACAAAGTGACATCATCTGATTTTTCTTTGTTGACCAGAACAGACTGGGTTCTATTTCTCAGATATGATGAAAACCAGGCTAGAGATAAATAACTACTGTGACTTAAGTGTTCAAATTCTATCTTCATCATTGAGTCAACTGGCGGGGTTTCGACTCCCCGGTTGTACGTGACAAGGAGTAGGGTCGCCTGTCCAACCTCGTTGGTTTTCTCCGGGTCCCCCCCACTGCTAAAGACCCCTACGCGCAAGCGAATTATTGAAATAAAAAGATTAAACCATATGTTAGTCCCGAAATGACCTAGTTTGTGTCGAGTGGACGTTAAACCCCATTTCTCTCTTTCTCTCTCTCTCGTTATTATGGCTCAAACTTGCCAAATCTAACAATGGCCGACATTCGAAAGAGCTTGTAGCTGTCTCACGCTAGTCAGAGAAGTGGCTGAAACACAAACCAAGTGAAAAGCTTTATAACACCACAGCTGAACATACGGCATTTAGTGGTTTTACCTCAACGAGTGGTGTGGTTGAAAGAAAATGGTTTGGGGATCTGGGGGCAAAGAAATTGTAACATTTTGCCGAACTTGGGGATGGTCGTGGCTCATGGTTGGTAACTTGATGAGAGGGGAAACCATATTTCTTAATTTTCGTCTGAACGGACCCCTTGACCCATACCTATCTAACGCTCTCAGATCTTCATAGTTACAAAATCATTTTTCAGCCCTGCGAAATTCCAGATATAATTAGTCATTTAATGAATGTTTTGTTAGACTGCTGTAATAATAAATAAACTATATTACTTTATGGCGAAGTTGGGTTTTTTTTACATACAATTACCCTAAACGTTTGCAGACATAATTAGATTATTTCCATATTTACGTATTCATGACGGCAATAAAAACAGATGTAACATGCCTCAATTAAATAAATGGCCAAAACATTAACAATAGTAAAATTTATTCCATAAATTATGCACGAAATTTGAAGAAATGAAATAATTATCAAAATTAGCAAAATGTTTCTTATAAAAGCAAGAAATAAGTTTCATGCAACCTCACTTTCAACTGGGATAAGACAATCTGCACAATGTTACTCAAGGTAGCAGTAGCACTCCTGTTTGTCGGGGTAAGTAAAATTATTTGTTCATCTTGACTAGCAGTTAGGATCGACTTATATCTGTTATGAGACCTTTCAACGACTTTTTTCGGGTCGTTTTGATGATAAAACTAGACTCGATTTTTAAAATTTAGATTATGCTATTATTAGGAATTCGTCGATATTGCTTGCTCCTTGACCACTAGAAAGGTCGGAGTAAATCCTTTAAAACATTTTATACGGTTCGCTCTTTGGAAGTTAAAAACGTTTTAAAATGTAGATTATGTTAGGATTTGGATTTTAGAATATTTTATAACATTTTACCCTTTATTGACCATCAGTTGGGACGAACGAAATTCTACTGTGGGACCTTTGAACGATTTTATTAGCTTTGCCTTAATGATCAAATTGGAAAAACAATTTTTTTTAAAAATAGATTATTGTTTTTGTTTTTGAATACGTCATAACGGTTCGTCCGCATGATTTGCTTTTTGACCAACAATCACGACGGACTAAATTCTGTTGCGAGTGAGTCATTCGAAAGATTTATTACCTTTGCCTTGATGATGCAATTGGGAAAACTAATTTTTAAAATACAGATTATGCTAAGATTAGAGTTTTTGTTACAGAATACTTTATATCGTTTCGTCCATATGGCTTGCACCTTGAACACTAGTTAGGACGATTAAATTATGGTGTGAGGCCTCTGAAACATTTTATTAGTTTCACCATGATGATACGGCTAGAAAAAAGAACGAATTTAAAATATAAATTATGCTAGGATTAGAATACTTTATACCGTTATCATTTCTAATTCGATACCGTGATTCCTGTTTACAATTGTTTAATGATTAAAGAGACAATAACACTATTGCTGGCTTGACAGCTCCAGAAAATAAAAAAATAAGTACTTATTCTAAGTACTAGATGTATAAGTGTCTTACCTGTTGTGTAAATTATCCATTAAATCCTATTTTACTTGTCCAGAGGGTTAAAAAATATTTTTAAATCCAAGTCACATTTGAAAAGCTTTACGTCAGGCTTTTCAAATCATTTAGTTGAATTTTTCCAATTTTTTAAATTAGGTGTGTTAAGGTGAAATTTGTATCATCAATTAATTGGAATATTGTAAAATAGTACAATTTGTTGACCAGAATAAAGATTGGGACATATTATTCAGTTACAACAAGAGTGGTATTGAGCCTTTAATACGTGTCCTTAATTTTATGTGTTCGCCTAGAAAACTCAAACGTGCTCATATTAAAATAAATATATTTTTCAGGCTATTACAGCTTTCGATCTCGGTCATTCAGAAGAACTCGGTAAATACTTATTATTTATTTATCTTTCATTAGATTCCGAATTCTGTGTCTAATGGTCGACCAAGAACGACCGTATCTATTAGAAAAACAGTATTATAAGGGAAATAGGGTCGATTTATTACGATAAATAGTGGTTCTAAATTAATTTGGATTGGAGTCACATTAAGAGTTAAAATTGAAAGAATGTGAAACTAAAAAAAAAAGAAAAAAAGGGAGATCATACAGATGTAATTATTCTAATTTGTAGAACAAACAAATATCGTTACAATAACTCCAGACCTAATAATGTCTTTAAAACATAACCCTACTTAATCAATGCACAAAGAATAATTATTCCGGTAACAGGTAAACTTTTGAATTTCAGCAAAACGAAAAGTTGGCGGTCCTAACTATGGTAAGTTTTTACTTTTGCTTTTCTCACACATGTTAAATTCACGAATTGGACTTACTAGTGATTAATAATGCGAATATGTAAAATGACTCTTTCCGGTTTGAATTCGATATAAGAGTAGACGGCACTATGACCTACTCTTATATCGAATTATAACTGACAAGGGATCTTTTACGTGTACGCCAATGTATACACGGGACCTCGGTTTTTCGTACAATCCCAATGACTAGACAGCTGTCCTTGTCAGACCTTCCGTCCAGCACCACTGACAAGGGTAAACCACGTCGCAAAATCCCGAATAACTTTCTCGGCCAATGCAGGGATCGATCACGCCACCTCCAGTATAACGAGCCAGCGTCTTACCCACTTAGCCAGATTTGAAATCATCTTTGTTTCTACCAGGGAAGCAATTATTACAATTTTCTGTCATATCATGAAATTGGAATTGTTTTTATTTTTCAGTCTGTTATCAACATCCATTGGACATCGTTTTCATCCTTGATGCTTCATCCAGTATCTGGGCCCAGAACTTCACCAAAGCCATAGCTTTCGTAAATAGCTTCATTAGTCCATATGAAATTGGTCCAAACAAGGTACGAGTTGCCATTGAAACCTATGCCGATAGAGTATACACTGAAGATGTCATTCAATTCAGAGATTTCGTCACCAGTGAAACTCTCCATGACAAAATTGCTGGTTTGGTGTGGCATCATGGATCCAGAACCGAAACTGGTGAGTTCAAAATATTATTCGTAATCATTATTATAAAATATAACGAAAGTATTGAATCTATTTTAAATACAAGATACCTCTCACAAATCTTATTATTTTCCTTCACCAGGTATGGGTATTGCCTATATGACAGACCACATAATGCCAAAAGCTAGATCAGGTCTTCCAAAGATCTGTATTGTTATCACCGACGGCAAATCTCAGGAATCCGAAAAGACAGCTTCTGAAGCCAAACGAGCACGCGATGCAGGAATTGATATGTTCGCTATTGGTGTAAGCAGGGCCGTTAATGAATCAGAATTACAAAGTATTGCTGGTGATCCTGACCGAGTTATCATCGTAGAAACATACTCCGAATTGGAAGCTATCAAAGATAAATTGTCTGGAAAGACTTGCAAAAGTAAGTAAAGTTTTAACATTTGACTCCCTCGTCGCACAATTTTAAACCGTTCATTTTTCTCCAAACTTATATTACTTTTAGACTGCGGTTGGAGTAGGCTCTGGTTATGATCTTATATCACAAAGACTTGTCATTGGCTTATGATCCGAATTCAGTACTGCTATTTCTGACACGGCTATCAATCTACTATCGTAATGAATGGTGCATTCTTTGGTAAACAAATTTTGTTTCTAAAACCAATATTTTCCATCGTAATGAATTGTACATTCTTTGTTAAACAAATTTTGATCCTAGAACCAATACTTTCCATTTTGCTATTCTTGCATTGCAGAAATACCAACTCCACCACCTACACAAGCTGCTGAGGGTAAGTTCCCTTTTTTGGATTTTCCTTGTTTGCAGGGGTGTCTCTGGTGTAATTTTCTTTTGAGAATCAGTATATACTTGTTTTTTCTAATGTTTTGAATTAGTTTTTTAATGACATATCCCACTACAGACCTGGGCGTATTAAACACCGTTATTTATTTATTTATTTTTTTTTTTTTTGTTCATATCATCAATAAAAGCAAATAAATACCAGACATGATTTTGCTTTAATTTTTTTTCATATTCCAGAATAATTTCCTTTATTTCATGATTTCATATTCCAGAATGTGGAATTGATCACCCTACCGATATCTACTACGTATTCGACCCTGCTTATCTTGGTATGGAACGAGTTAACTGGGTCACCCAGTTCATTACTTACACCATTGATGTCCGGGAATTCGCCCACATGAGAGTTGGTGTCATCAGTGGATCATGCCCGTTGGATGCTGGATTCAACCTCAAACAATATCGAAGCTTTGATGAGGTTGAAAAAAGACTTAGAACATATAATAAACCCAAGCTCACCACACTTATGAGGTCTCTCCCCTCTGCCTATTCACGCAGAGAAGGTGGACGTCCTAATGCTAGTAAAGTTGCAGTTATCTTCCTCGGTGGTAAAATCGACCAAAGGCAAGTTGATCAAGCAGCCAAGGCCGCTAAACGAGCTAAAATTCGAATTTTCTTCGCTGATGCTGGAAATGCTGACTCACTTGATGCACTTGATGGATTCAACTTGGCCCAAGCTGGAAGAGGTGCCAGGCTACAAGCCGATGCTTTCGTCCAAGAATTATGCAGTAAGTTTAATTAAGATAAGGTTTTAGAATAGTTTAAGAAATTTTGAACTAATCAGTACGACAGGCTTAAACAATCGGAAGACTGGTACTTTAAAGTGGACTTTAATTAAACATAATTTACTAAGCTATGATTCTCTTTTTTTATATTTTTCAGGAGACTACTAATCGCCCATGTGATAAAATATCAGGATGTACCGTTGTCGATACTCACGTGTTGTTATTAATTATGGTTGTTGTATATATATATATATATATATATATATATATATATAAATATGTATACAAATAAATAAATATCTCAGTTAGCAATTTAAACAGTAGTTGTTCAATTATTTTAGCATTTTGCTCAAAGCTGTAGATCTCGGTTCAAGAACTTCAGTGGCCTGGGGTTTAATTTGGCTTTTCCAGTTATTAATAGCAGCTCGCCTATCATTTCCCCGATTTTGCCCATGGTGCGTTTCATCTTTGCTTATGCCTCATTTTTGGTTGTTGAACCGTGTCATTGTAACGTTTTGCGGTTGGTCGTAATATATCGAGTGTATGTCGTATGAAAGCAAATGAAATGGTGTTTAACGGCCTACTGTTCTGCACTGACTGGGCTAATGAAGAACGGCACACGCTATACAGAGTACTGTAGGGGATATTGTGCCTGGACAGCGGCACTACGACCTACCCTTAAGCCGAATTCCAACTGTCAAGGGGTGTTTTGTCTGCACGCCAACGTGTACACGGAACCTCGGTTTTTCGTAAAATCCGAATGACTAGACAGCTAGTGTTCCTTGTCAGGCCCTTAGTGCTGCACCGCTAACAAGATAAAACCACGTCAGAACATCCCGTGCCCTTTCCTATCAATAATCACATCCTTAGTATTGCTACAGTATTTTTCCCTGGCTTTTCTAATCGTACTCCTTAACTCAGGGTAGTCTGGAATAATGGAACACACATCTTATTTCGAGGGGATTTCACAGCTTAGGGACGGGGGACTGATGATGGTCATTTTGGCTTAGTCCGACCGAGACATTGTGGCTCAAAAATACACGTCGATTCCGGTGCAAAAATCGCCCTTACCTTGGACTAGCATTTGACATGCACAACCCGTTTCGGTTCAAAAATTTGAAACCGATAGATATGGAAAATGAGAATGGGTGTCTGAAAACAATGAATATTGCTACGAATACAGTTACTATCACCAGGCCCCTGCCAAGGCATCAAACAGAAAATTGTTTCGCTTTCTGCATCAGAGATGAACTGCTATTCTTTTCCCTGCTGATTACGATTTTAGTCCATAGTATTTTGGTTGTCATTTTGAGACTGACATGGTAACTTTCATTTCTATGGTTACGTGTAACATGCGAGATGGAGAATTTTGCCCGGACGGCAGCGCTTAAGCTTAATCTTCTTCGAATTCCTCCTGCTCGGTGAGAATGGGGCTTGGATAGTTCCAAAGGTTTCTTCACTAACTCGGGAATACTAACCTGGGGCATGCTAATCGAGTGACCATGCAGTGCTATCTATATGGGAAGCTACATTAAGTCGTTAGGGCTAGAGCGCTAATATTAGCCCGGACGGCAGCGTTTAAACCTAATCATCTCAAATTTCCCCCTTGATCGGTGAAGATGGGACATGGATAGTTCCAAAGGTTTCTTTACCAACTCGGGGATTTTAATCGAGTGGTCATGCAGTGTTATCTATATGTGGAGTTACACAAAGCCGTTAGGGCTAGAGCGCTAACATTAATGTTAAGGAATCCCAACGAACAATGTATTTTTCTGGTCATATTTTGACTTTTAAAGCTTTGATATGGTAAGTTTTAGATCTAGCACAGACGAATTTACTGTTAAACTGTGGACGTCGCGCGAGAGAGGAATGGTGTTTAACGTCCATTCGACATAAACTATGTAATGTCATATGGTTCAATTTTGTTTGAATAATTCGCTTGTATGTAGAGGTCTTTAGCAGTGGGAGAAAATCGGAGAAAACACCTGAGGTTGGACAGGCGACCTTATTCTTTAAGCTGTTTGTGATTTGGGCTGACTGACTATTCCGATATGTAAAGGTAATGGTTGTTAAATTTGGTAGGTTTTTCAATGCTTGATATTTACGGTGATAAAGATAGCCACGCGTGGAATACGCCCATACAACAACTTCTCTCAACTGCAGCTTATCCGAAAGGAAAATTTGGATGTTGAGCAAATTTGATAAGGATATAGTTTTCGGCAAAGGGTGGGGTGGGAGAGTAACTGAGGAACGGAAGGCTATGGATTATAACTATCGATGGGATCGAAAACGATCCATTTATTGAGTTCACAAGTTTTTATTTTTGTTTTAATAAAGATTGGGCATAAATCCCAAACGTAAAAACGCGGAACGCTGAATATCCTCCGATGACCTCAATGCTTCCCACGATATCTGCCAAAAATTATAGCCTCTACAGCGTACACAATAGGGTTCATTCTCTAAATTTGAAAAACACCCATTAAAAAAAAATACATGCCGTGAAATCCAATTGTTGATTGACAAACAACAAACTTCGCCAAAGTAAATAATATGAGCTAATATAGAAGCCAACAGTAGCTGAAACATACAGATTAACAATAATATATGGCACCGACCCAGGGTGTGGCGAACACACTTTATGCCCAAAAATGAACACATTTCAACTAAATATGAAGTTATATTATGTCTATATCGTGTCTAAAATTCTACAGGGGTCCTGTATATACGAATTAGATCAAGAATTTTTTAAGAAAATGGTCATCAAAGTGATTATACTTAAACTATTTGGTCAGACAGATTTTGATTACTCTTTCTACCACCTTTTCTCTTCAAAAAAAAGTAGAGGATATTCAGAAACAAGACAAAACTGCGGAAATGCACTGCAATATGGTTGTGGACATAATGATTACGTATATTTTGGAGGTCTGATCCAGTTGAAAAGTTCAATGATTTGTGGAGGTAATTAACGTTATGATAATTGTTTAATTTGTCTCAAAGTAATCACCATAAGTTAAGCACCATATAGCCCGGTTGGAGCTATGATGAGCTGTGATATTGACGTGTCATAAAACTTCATTTCATTCATTCATATTATTACTAGTCACAATAATTTAAATTAAAATATGAGCTACTATATTTTAAACGACCATTACTGCAAATTCACATACATAGTTAAAACTATTCACTGAATTACCAGCCCTTGCCGCAAGAGGGAAATGCCTCAACTGCATGGTTCCCCATTGACGGTACCTCTTAAGATAGTAAAGAGTGGGTTGGAATTTTGTTTAAGAATAATCACCCCTTAATCTTTCGGTTAACATATCATTGACACCTGCCGACATATTATCCTCAGCCGGATCTATGATTCAGGCGTTCAATTTTCTTATGCAGTAAATTATTGAATAATACCAGTTATCAGTTGTTCTTAAGGTAAAAAGAAAAGTCACTAAGTTTTGCCTATAGGATTCCTAAGAGTGGAAAAACTGTGCATGTAATACATTCATCTATTGGAAAGACGATAGATAATTCAGAAGAAAGTATACTTTTTAGATTGCCAAATATGTATCAATAATGTTCATTCTAAACAATAATTCGCATACAATGCTTATAATTTCACTGAATACACAATGCGTGGCGTATGCCCGTCTTTATTAGCACGGTATAGCAATGGTCAGCATCAAATATTAAATTTGACATTTCATAATCATTATATAACTATTAATTTCTGCACTGTAATTAGTAAATTAATTCATAGCATTTTTCAATTAACCCAAGATATTAACAACCGATTCTCCATTGGAATTTAATCGGCGAAATAATTATCACATAAGTTCCTTATATAAGGAGTTAATGGATTAATGCAGTTTCATTTTCAAGAGGAATAACCTAATCTACAAAATGTTACTTAGGGTAGCTGTTGCATTAATATGTATCGGGGTAAGTATTACCGAAGTTAGCTTTAGTTAGAACTATTTGGCATATACCAACAGATCTATACGAGATTTAATACAAGAGACAACATTTTTTACAGCGCTGTGACTGCTTTTTTTATAATCAAAAGATACTATGCCAAATTATATTTGGGAAACACTTAAAGGGCGTATGGCTCTATTTTTTGGAACCTTGAAATAGACAAAAATGGTTCTAAAAGCATATATGATATGAATGTATATAAAGTGATTTATAAAAAATATTGTAATTTCTAATCAATTATGTTCGGTGAAAATTGAAATACGTGAACAGTTCAAATTGAACGGTAGTCGTTTATGCCTGCGTAGTGCATTCTACACGTTTTTTAAATTATTATTTTGTCGTTTGTGAATCAGCATTTACTAATTACTTCCACATTGTGTTGTAGGATATGTTTGTATTTGCTCATTACAAAATGGCACCCGAAACCATAGGATACACAATTCGTGTACTGATTATAAATTGTTAATTGTGTCTCAAATATTGGATATTAGGATCATATAGTTCCATGACAAGATAACAATATCAATATTGATTGAAATTGACCAATACTGAATTCTAATTCGCGTTTTTAATTACATATATTATAGAAAATACTGAGTTAGAGACTAAGCTCCTTTAATGACGACCATAATTTACAATATCGGCCAGGGTTCAGTATTGTTTGCAAAGTAGTTGCCAATGTGAAATGCTTACAAATGTTTCGTTTGGGTGACCATGCATTCGAAATGTTATTTTTCAGAATATATTAAGTAATGTATAATCCGAGGGGCTTTTGAAAAGCAGTTGTTTTCAGTGATAAATTCTGGGGATTATGTGATCTAAATTTAGTTTTATAGAACATTTCATTTATGTTTTCCGTTAAAGTGTGTGCACGGCGTTTCACAATCTATTATTTCAATAACTACCGAATATTGAATTATCTTAACTTTTTTTTAACTGTTACGTTTGATAAAGATTAACATTTTAAAATCAAAAAACAAATAATCGTATAGGTTATGTATAATTGGTTTTGACAGAACTTCCAATACTTTTGTGTTACTTTGAATTGTTGCTATATTATTATCCAACCACAAAACTGAGCAATCATCACCCATGGCTCGTCAAAAATATTTTGCTCAATTTATAATAGAGTTTATTTATATATATTTTTAGGCTATTACAGCTTTCGATTTCCGTTTTGGAAACTTATTGGGTAAATATTAGTTTTTATTTTCTATTGGATATTTCAATGAAATAAAATAGTTTGATTAACTACCACATTTCACGAAATAAAATAGTTTGAGTAAATACCATATTTCCTGGTAGATATATACTGTTTTAATACACCAGAATGCCATTCATTGTATTTTTCTATCAACAATACCATTCATCGTGTTTATCAGTCACAAAAACTATTAATCAATGGTTTTCAAACATACCATTCATACACAAAAAACACATACTTATGGAAAAACAGCTACTTATTTATTTGGGCGACGTTTCGAAGAGTATTCTCTCAACGTTATCAAGCTAATACAGTAATACAAGAATAATGAGATCAATATATACAGAAAACTGTAACAACAATTCATGAAACCATACAGGACAACAACAAGATCAAAGGGGTTTATTCTACAAAAACTAATTAAGTGTGAAGAGTAGCCATTGAGTATAGTTAAGCAATTAGGTAGCTATGATGATAGATACAATACTACCGGCAGAATGGGATAGTACCTACAATACAATTATGATATACCATGGTTTGTTTAGATAATGGTAATTAACTTTATATGTCTGTGTGATTAAATGTACAATTAGACTAGAGTAACCTATATGTGTAATAATTCTAAGAAATAGAGTGGATATAACTGATAAATTGATAATAATATTAGAAGAATGAAAAATAATAAAACTCATAAAAATTCAAAGGTTTCTTATCCACTGTACTGTAGAATGAGTGGGGGTGATGGAAAACACATAATTTAGGTATATTTAATAAGTTCATCATAAGCACTAGGCAGGAATATCCCTGTGTCGCGGTTGAGGTCTGGACTGTTTCTTTTAATGTGTATGGCCTCAATAGCTTGATAACGTTGAGAGAATACTCTTCGAAACGTCGCCCAAATAAATAAGTAGCTGTTTTTCCATAAGTATGTGTTTTTTGTGTATTGCTCTACCCAGTTACTAAATGCCTCTTAAAGATTAATACCATTCATAGTGTTCTTCAGTCAAAACTACCTTTCATACTGTTTTTCAGTCAAAAATACCATGTATTGTGTTTTTCAGTCAAAAATGCTATTTTTCTTTACAGATTTTTAAAATTTTATTTCTTCGTGTTTTTATTTCATTCGCCGCGTGGTTATTCATTATTTATATTTTTATTTTTCCAGCCAAAAGAAAAGCAAACTACGGTAAATATTAATTAAATAGATAAAAAAAATGTCTTTTCCAGTCTATGCATTCTCGTGTAACATACCAGTGACCATTAACCGTTTTATATTGTAGTAGGAGTGGGGGGGTATCAAGTTACGGCGTGAAAACATTGGCACGCGGGTAAAAGAACCAGAAGAAGAGTGGACGGAAACTCTGCTGTCTGGACACATTTTCCATCACAGCTCATTTCATGGCTAATGCCAATCTTCATTTGCAGAACAGTAGGAAGTTATATCCATCTCTTTTCGTTTATACATGTATACATTTTTTGCCTGTCATTTCATTTTCTGGATATGTCTGCATTGCATCAGGGGTGTCTTCCTGTATTCCACAATTACCAGAGACAGTATTTGTCAAATGATCTAGGTTATGAAGCTTGTATTCATAAACCGGCTATTCAATTAATATTACTATTTTCTGATATATATAATATAACTATTCAACCTTCCTTATTTCTAGTCTGTTATCAACATCCATTGGACATAGTTTTCATCCTTGATGCTTCATCCAGTATCTGGTCCCAGAACTTCACCAAAGCTAAAGCTTTCGTAAATAGCTTCATTAGTCCATATGAAATTGGTCCACAAAAGGTACGAGTTGCCATTGAAACCTATGCCGATGTAGTGTACACTCAAGATGTCATTCATTTCAACGATTTCCTCACCAATGAATCACTGCAAAAGCAAATTGCTGGTTTGAAATGGCATCATGGATCAAGAACCGAAACTGGTGAGTTCAAAATAGTATTCGTAATCATTATTATAAAATATAACTCAAATATTGAATCTATTTAAAATGTTGATTGTAAATAGTTATATGTATATATACTAATTAAGGCGCGAAGTTTTTATGTTGGCTAAGCCTGTTCCCCAATCCCATTCCGATATTCTGAATAAAATATTGTTTAAGAAAAAATACATGATACCTCTCATAAATGATCACAAATAACGTTTTTTAGAACTTCGAATTCTGTCTTATGGTTTGGATTGTTCGTACTTGGTTTTATTTTATTTTTATTCCTTTCCCCAGGTTTAGGCATTGCCTATATGACAGACACGATAATGAAAGAAGCTAGGCCAGGTCTTCCCAAGATCTGTATTGTTATTACCGACGGAAAATCTCAGGATTCCGCTAAGACAGCTCTTGAAGCCAAGAAAGCACGCCTGGACCGTATTGAAATGTTTGCAATTGGTGTGAGCAGGGCTGTTAATGAATCAGAATTACAGAGTATTGCTGGTGATCCAGACCGAGTCATCATCGTAGAAACATACTCCGAATTGGAAGCCATCAAGGATAAATTGTCTGGAAAGACCTGTAAAGGTGAGTTTTATAAATTCAAACTATCGTAAACAAATTGCAAATTGGTCAGATGTCCAGCAGAATTAACTAGCAGGTTGTCAGTTCAATTCATACTGAAAGATTCCAGATAACTTAAATTGTATGTTCTATCATATTAAAATCTTCTATGGCTTAATTTATCTCTTCTATTTCCAGAAATCCCAACAACCACCACAACCACACCAGCTCCAACACCAGCTGCTGAAGGTATATTATACTATCTCGACTATATATAAATGATTTTAATTTTGTCATCTATCTGTTTAACTCTCCCAACCCTATGTTATTGTCATCGTACATAGGCCTGGTAGTAATCGAAAGTTTTGATACGAACTTATTTTCAAAGAATCTGGTTTTCGCTATCCCAATATCTACTTTTTGTCAATTATTCTATCAGTTTAGTATTAACTATTTTGAGGAATATTTTATTTTTACAGAATGTGGTACGGATAATCCCACTGATATTTACTATGTCTTCGATCCTGCTTATCTTGGTATGGAACGAGTTAACTGGGTAACACAGTTCATCACACACACGCTCAGTGCCCAGGAATTCGCCCACATGAGAGTTGGTGTCATCAGTGGATCATGCCCATTGGATGCTGGATTCAATCTCAAGGAATATTCCACCATCGTTGACGTGAGGGAGAGACTTGAATCCTACGACAGCCCAAGGTTTACAAAACTTATTGGTTCTCTTAGCTCTGCCTACTCATCCCAGAAAGGCGGACGTGGTGATGCCCGAAAGGTTGCTGTTATATTCATTGGTGGAAAAATTGACCAGGTGGCTGTTATCAAAAATGCCCAAGCTGCCAAAGAAGCCGGAATTGATGTTTACTTCGCTGATGCCGGAAATGCTGATCCCGGTTTTCTTGATGCCCTCAACGAAATCGGTTTCAGCTTGGCCAGAGCTGGCGCGGGCTCCATACGACAAGCCCATGCTTTCGTCGAAGAATTATGCAGTAAGTTTTATTAAGATTAATTAGAATAACTTTATAAATTTGGAACTAATCAGTACGGCAGATTTAAACATTTGGTTTATTGAAATCTTAAGCTGACCTTTAGTTAAAACAAGGCGATTATAACTTTTGGAAATTATACTAAACTTTAATGATTCACTTTTTTATATCTTCCAGGAGAATACTAATTACCCAAGTGATCAAATATCAGGATTTACCATTGGCGATATTCGCGCGTTGTTTTGTAAATTATGGCTGTTGTATATATATACAAATAAATAAATATCTCAGTTAGCAATTTAAACAGTCGTTGTTCAATTATTTTAGCACTTTTCTCAATGCAGTAACCCGGTTAAATAAGACTTCAAAGGCTTTTATCTTTGTGGATAAAATCTTTTACAAGCGAACCCTATTCATGTTTTGAGGAAGAACATGTATTGGTAGATTTCTGCTGCCATAATTTAAAAAGGTTACACCGTGTCATATCTGAAAGGGGGGCAGAGGGCGAGATGGGGTGTGGAGGGGGTTGTTATGGGATCGCGAAGATGCTAAACCGAAGATGGTTGTACTAGTTAAATTTCCACACAAATCAAAATGGGCGCCTTTGTATCATACTGGCAGAGCAAATATTACCGGATAATTATATTTCCGGCGTTTCGTCAATATATATAGAGAATCTCCTACCAGTCTTTTTTGATATCAAAAAATATCAACACTACTTTATCAACGAGTGTTGATATTTTTTGATATCAAAAAAGACGAGTAGGAGATTTTATTTATCACCCAATCCCTTCTTACATGCACAAATAGATAAATATAATTCTTTGCTGTATATTTCCCTTTTACTGAACATTACGGCGTAATGATACATCATTTTTTGACAGCAATTCAACCATTGCAAAGTCCTTTATATTGGCCCAGTGTTTCCATCAAGGTCAATTGAATAACAGTTCATTTTTGAAAAAAAAAGTTACTTTTAATAAGAAATGAACTGTTCTTTGAAAATAAAAAAAAGTAGTTCCTTTTCAACTGACCAATCAAATTCATGTAAAGCGATATCTCCTAAGGAGATATCGCAGTAGATTATGAAATATATCACACGGGCGATATCTACTGTGGAATGTATTATTGGGTGATAAAGAAAGATAGCAAGGATGGATTGGGATGATGTTGTTGGCTTTCGGGGATATGGACATTTTCAACAGTCGAGGTGTCAATAGCGATTTAATTTACACCAACCTGATATATTTATAGAATACAGTGCTTTACCCATTTGTCTTCCATCTTTATATCACAATGTTAATAACACTGACAATCATAAAGGCTTAGCTGATCCCCAACTGTTACCCAACACAAAATGAAACGCTTTACAGTTCAGCACTGACTGAGCTAATGAAGACGGGTGCCTAACATCAAATGTAAATCAGTTCTTATCACATTATTATGTGTTTTTCGACTTTTGTCTTTCAATTCTATAGCTAGCGTCCAGAGAATAGAAGTTTAAAGTTTCGTTTCAAGTTAAGCCTATTTTTAAAGGTTGATTCTTGTGACTACCATCGTTATCTGTTTAAATTTAAAGGAAATAGGTAGACCCTATATTATTGTTGGTTTAAAAAATAAACGAATGTAAAAATGACGATTTTCGCCCCAAGTGCAAAGAGACATACGACAAATGCACGGAACGGCAAAAAGACAAAGCATGAACATTTCATCTACATCAATCAAGTTATAGTTCCGTCCCCTGTTATTGTTGAGAATATGCGAACGCATACAAGGCCCAGTAAGGATTAACATTTTGGAGACAGCACAACTCAACACCATTCTCATCGCACCACAACAGTCTTCGACACTGGCAGAGAACTATAACGGTACTCGATTCCGACAGAACGATTTAACCAATGCCACTCGATACCACCCCAATACTAATTAAATACTACCAAATACCACCATATACCCCATTATTGTGAACTACTAACAGATTAATTAAATTATACCAAAACAAATTGAATTCGGTGATATCGTTTTTAATGGTGTTCTAGCAGTTTAGGCATTGCGTTCTACTGTCAGACACTGGAGATTTAGGCATTGCGGCATTTTCACTCTATTTGTGAGAAAGAATTCGTGGGTTTCGTTTTTAATAGTGTTCTGGCAGTTCAGACATTGCATTCTACTGTAGGACACTGGAGATATATTCATTGCGGCCTTTTTTCTTGATTCGTGAGGAAGATTTCGGTGATTTCCTTTTTAATTATAGGTTAACGTGCTCTATAGGATCGATGAATCGATTCACCACAGTGGGTTAATTCATTCTGTTGTTTGAGAAATAGAAAATGAAATGAATGAAATGGGGTTTAACGTCCTACTGTTCTGCTCCTAAACTAGGCTAATGAAGACGGGCATACATCATACAGTGTGCTATGAGGGAAATTTTGCCCGGGCTGCGGCGCTAAGTCCTACTCTTTTATCGAATTCCAACTGCCAAGGGATCTTTTACGTGCACGCCAATATGTACACGGGACCTCGGTTTTTTCGTCCCATCCGAACGACTAGACAGGATGTTGGAGGTTAGCATTACTTGGTCTGGTATATGTTAATTGCTGGGTAAATCATCGGCTATCTTTGTTCACAAAAGTCACCGATCACTATACCAATATGTCCCCAGACGTGGTAGTTCACGCTCTACCGCAGCCCCTTCTCGTTTGTCTGATGATTATGTCATACCTGTACGAGCTTTACGATCCAAGCAAATCCACAATCAGGCTCGTGCGGTATCATCAACAGACGAGGTACAGTTACACTCACCTAGGACAATGAAATCAACACATTATCAGTCTGGTAATCCAATTTTAGCAAATGCTTTAACATCCTCGACCATGCATGCTGACCAGATTAAAAGGTATTAAAAACGTCTCAAAACAATATTGTTTACATTATATCCACAGAGTAAAAATCGTGTTGACAGTTGATAGCCTTGTTTGTCACACAATTAGTTTTTCTGCAATATTCTGCAATATTTGGTCCAATTTGAAGCTCTGTTTGATATTGTTACGCAGTAAGCTATTGGTTGTTAATCGGACTATTGACCAGTCATAATTTAGAACAAGAATTTGCTTTGTTTACAGCAGTGAGTAGTGGGATCAGCTCTAATCAAACGAAACACTGCGAGGAGTATGCGCTGTTCGGGCATAATGTCCCTCATAGCACATTGTATGACGTATGCCCGCCTTCAATAACCCATTCGGAGCAGAATAGTAGGACGTTAAACCCCCAGTTCATTCATTTCTGACCAGATGCTTAGGCTCTCATATCTCAGATGCACTCAGAAGGCCTATTATTGTTAGGTCAACAGTTGGTCTCCCCGGCTACGGAACCCGGAACAACCACCTCCACTGCAGTGCCACAGATCATTGCAGACGTCAAGTTACTGGCATTGATCTTAATTGTTTATCTTCAAACATTCGTTACCACTGGATTTTGATATTCTAGACAATTTTAAATGGCAAATTTGGTCAGTCCAGTTTGTTAATTTTATCCAATTCTCAAAAAGATAATGAGTTGGTGATCTTGCATACAACATAATCCAATGTTCGAATTCACTCAGGTGCAAAACGCAAGGAGATTTGGACCATACCACAATGGTGTAATGCATTTAACATTTTCGTTACCATTTATTTATTACCAGAAATGTCAAAACACCTTGTCTTTAAGTACGTCACTAATAACAGGAACATGGCGTCCAGAGTTTGAATTCCAATCTGCAAAATCTTACGATAAAGCTTTTCGTAAAGTAAGATCTCTCATAAAGTCGGGGGGGGGGGGGGGTTGGCTGAATGGTTAGCACGTGCGCGCTGTATCATAAAGTCTGTCATTGAGTCAACTGGCGTGGTTTCGATTCCCCGGTTGTACGTGACAAGGAGTAGGGTCGCCTGTCCAACCTCGTGGGTTTTCTCCGGGTCCTCCCACTGCTAAGACCCCTACGCGCAAGCGAATTATGGAAATAAAATTGAACCATATGTTAGTCCCGAAATGACCTAGTTTCTGTCGAGTGGACGTTCAACCCCATTTCTCTCTCTCTCTCAAGGGGGTTTAGCTTGTTATCATATTACAATTTCTTCGTTTGTTAGGAGTCAACATTCATTGCCTGCTCCAACTGTAATTATGACGTGACAATGATTTAGCGTGTTAGGGGTCAGCATTGCCTGCTCTATGAAGTTATATTACAATTGTTTAGCTTGTTATGGGACAGATTTGCCTGTTCTAACTATTAGTTATCATATTACAATTATTTAGCTTGTTAGGGGTCGGCTTTCATCACCATCCCTTGCTTGCTATTTTTGATCGAAAGGTGTCCAAGGGTGGGGCAGCCATTTATTCGTTATGGTTTTGTGGCTCTTTTTTTTATCCCACCTTTACTTTCTGTTCTGTCATTTATTAAGTTTAAAAAATATTTTTGGAAAATTATATATTTCTACTCTTCAAAAAAAAGTAGGGGATATTCAGAAACAATACAAAACTACAGAAAGACACTGCTGTTTTTATTAGAGGCAACCAGTGTATGTTAATAACAGGCCAATTGCCTACACATGAACATAAACAGTTCATATGGGCGGGTTATCTGACGGCACCATTTCACTCGCAAATAGATACACTGTCAAAAGTGAAAATGGACGTTTTTGATTTTTGTCTTAATAATGAGTAATTGCTCCACCAATCCTCAGACATTCAACAATTCGTCGTAGCATGCTTCTAATCAACCGTCCAATCACGATTTGGGGCAATCTGACCCACTCCTCTTGCAGTGCCACGGCCAATTCTTGCAGTGTTATCGGTTGACGTCTCCCGGTCATGTCCCAGACATGCTCTATAGTTGAAAGGTCAGGACTTGTGTCGAGTGGACGTTAAACTCCATTTCGCTCTCTCTACATAGTATCAGTGATAATTGGAATGGCAAAAAAATGAATAAATAATTTATTTTCCACAAACAAACGTAATGTTATCCAAATAACTGTACTTTTATCTCATTTTTTGGTAATATTGACCCATTATATTCCAGAAATGGGTTGATTTTTTATGTTTGTGTTATTATTAGGTGATTAAAGGAGACATTGACCATCACATTTGCCTCCATCGTTTGGTTTGTGTGAATTCCTAAAATGAGAAATGGTATCACATTTGCCGTCCATCGTTTGGTTTGTGTGAACTCTTAAAATGAGAAATGATATCAAATTAGGTTTAACAGTTCTGATTGGTGGCAGGTGTGGTACCAAAGGTGGTTCATACTTACACGTTTAAGAGCACCCGATG